ACAAAACGCACAGAGGCAACTATTAACGGGCAACCATTAAAGCAGAGACTATTCAGACTGATGGCTTAGAACAACGCCGAGCCCATCGTAATCAGTTACAGCAGCTTCTCGACCACCGGAGGTGCGCAAACAGAAGTGAGCGGAAACCGATGGGTCTTGAATCCCCGTTTCAGGGAAACGGTACAAAGCGAATTCAGTCTGCATGCTTGACTAGTCCGTTGTCCGGCTTGTTTGAGAGTGCGAACATTAAAGGTTGCCGGATGTAATGAGCGTCAAGGTTTGCAAAATGATTTCGAAGTGTCTGCGGCCGTGGGGGCCGAGTTAACTTTAGATATTGTAGCTAAGCACAATGGATGTCAATCCTTACGATTGGGCCCAATGGAGTGCGGACAAGGAAGAATGTGTGAAGGATGAAGAAGGATGGTGTCACTTTCGCTTACCTGCCCTGCAGCAAGCAAGGCAGCTGATGGTACCACGCGATGGCCGATGTGGAATCAGATTGTAAATGGTTGTACTCAGACCGTGATACTGCCAGAGCTGCCAGGCTTAGACAGGAAGACGTTTAGGTTCCTCAGCCAAAGGCTGCGATTTAAAAGCCTAGCCGCAAGGCGGCGGTGGTTTGTGGAGGTCGACTTTCGGAGCAGCCTACATTTTTAAGGAGCAAGTAAGTGCAGCCGCCTTCATCTGGCGCCGCCGTTACGGCCCACCTTTCGAAAGCATGGTTTCGGGATGAAAAATACCGTTTTTCGTAGATGGTGGTTGGGCGTGCGTAGTACATGTACGAAAGTGTTATACGTTCCTGTTTTGAAGAGTTGGTCTATTTAAAAGGTGTACGCCGGGAACGTCAGATTCGACTGTAAACAGTATGCTAGGTAAACGTTTCGCCGTACTACCGACAATAGGCTATTCTTATCGGCGGTGGGTTGCGGTCGTGTCATTATGCAACATAGGAACAAGAATGTAATACTCCATTGCGTGTTTAACGGTCATTACGTAAAATCAGTGTCAGCTGTATTTAGTTCTTTACCTCGGATGTTCGCCAACAGTTTCAACTACAGCTGATAAATTAGTTTGCTGTTACTACAGAGTGAAACAGAGATCCGGCAGCTTGCTTCGAAACCCTTGTGCGCTGGGGTACGTACGTATCAGTCGTATCCAACAATAGGTGGAACCGTTCATCGAAAGGTTAGCTGCGGATAGTAGAACCGAAGGTCGAACTCCCGAAAGACAATGGCGGGTTGCTACGTATCGGTGGATAAGTTGACTTGTAGGATAGTGCTGGTAACAGAACCTAAGCAAGTTGATCACATGGACTTACAACCAATCGACCGTCATCACCAGCCAATGTCGTTCTCGGTGTGATTTTTCAGGGTGAGGAACACGAGTGTGCATCCTTTGAGCGATGCAAACCTCAGTATCACGCTTTGTCTGTTTAGGTCCTTTTTCAATTCGAATAGAACCTTTGGGAACTTGAGTACCAGTCCGTTCGTAAATCCGATGGCCAATACTGAATTCAGCCCCAGAACCAGTTCTACTTCCTCGGGGCGGATCAGGAACTCTACCATTATGGTCAATACGACACCAGAGTGAACAGTGGCAGATTTTCCTGTCTTTGCACCTTTGGGATTAGTTTGTTGGCTCGTCAATGGTGTATCCGGTGGTAATCGTACCAGTGGTTTTTAGCAGAATGCCTAGATGGAAGCACTGCTCCCGTGCCTGACTCATTTTCATGATCATCAGGAGCGCAGGTTTTTAAATACCAGTGCTTCATCGCCATGTTTATGTTAATTCATTTCAGCAAAGCCCAATAACGGAAAAAGAAAGGCAGGACAGAATTTTGTGAACACGATCCGATTTCTATATTCGAATACTTCTGGGCGAGTGAGAATGTATGGTGAGCACCCTAAAAGCTTCCCTTCGAGAAGTGGTGTCAGACAAGGATGTCCACTCTCTTCATTCTTGTTCAACTTCACCATCGATAAAATAGTGAGGCGAACGCTGAAAAGTCTTCAAAACTCGGTGTTCAAATTGTTGCTGAGGAGAGCCTTTTCGATCTAGAGTACGCAGATGATATTGTCTTCATCCTTGAGGACAAAAGCCAGGCACAAGCCCTGTTGAATAGACTGGCCACCATCATACCATCTTTCGGCATGCGCCTTGCACCTCCAAAGTGTAAAGTCATGCTTCAGAACGTGCAGCCTCCGAACACTACCTTTAAAATTCGAGGAGAATAACGGGAGATGGTGGAAAATTTTGCATACCTCGGTAGTTGCATTAGCTATGAAGGGAATGTGTCCGATTAAGCCAGTGCAAGAATCTCAAAGAATCGAATCACGTTTGCTAGTTTGCACCCCTTGTGGCGTCAAAACGGTATATAACTAAATCTTAAGGGTCGCGTGTACTAAGCTATAGTAAGGACTGTGTTGTTGTATGGGTGCGAGACGCAGCCTCCGCGGACATATGATGTGAGGCGTTTTCAGGTTTTAGATCACCGATGCCGATTTTGGATGGTGTCAGAGGATTAGTAACAAGATGATTAGAAAAGGGCTATTTGGTTGTCGCACTTGGTCGTTGCGCACCCATAGACGACCCTGCACGGTGAGCCTGGAGCCCCTACGACCGTGAGAGCTTACAACTGCATATATTCCTTCAAGCACCATCGAGCTTGTGGTCCGGATGAACTCTCATCCGCATGGCCCACTAATGGGGATGAAGTCTACAGTCAGAACTCGTCTGATATTTTTGCCTGCATTTCAGAAGAAAGGCTGTCCAAGACAACTGAGGAGAGTCGGCGATAGCGCCCACTTTCAAAAAAGGGGCCCATCACAAGTGCGGCGATCACAGGGGGGATCAACGTGGTCCCAATCAGCACGAGACTTTTGGAGTTACTTGTCCTCCGTCGCCCTATGGTTGCCCGGGAAACATTGACTCCAGGGCAGCAAATGGGATTCCGGTCTGGTAGGGCTATTGTTGAGCAAATCTTAACACTCAGCCTGATAATAGAACGACACTCGTGCAACTGGGCTACAATCTTAGTATCTATGATATTCCAAAATAAAACGGATTCCACTGACCGGCCTATTCTCCTTAACATAACTATTCAGTAAGAAAGATTGTGAAAGTAAGTCCGTTGTATTCTCAGACTTCCGGACGTGAGAGTACACTGAGAACTCCTCTGCAAACGAAATGGTCTCCGTCAAGGATACACACTCTTCACGCTGGAAGTTCTTCAAAATCCAGATTGCGTGAATGGATGTTTGGAGGTGTAGGCACTTTAGGACGATTGCGGTGGGCTGACGCTATGACTTTTAGGGAAATTATGGTTCTACGGCAGCGAAGCATCACTGCTGGACACTGATGTTATGCTTTCCATGATGTTCATGATAAAGCGACTACCGCCTCAGCAACATCATCTCTCAAGTTTTGGCATGCCTAGTGCACGAGCGATCAGTCCCTAAAGAACATGCGGAGTGTCGGCCGCATGTAGTCGGCGTCATTCATATTCACCTTACGCCAAAAGCCCACATACGAAATCCCGGCTTGTCTGGTTCTTGTGGACGTCAAAGATGCTTTTGGCGTTGTCAGCAGAACTTTTTCTATAAAATGGGGACCCATTGCTATTTTCCGACATGGCGTCACGTGCCCCTAGGTCTGGGCAAGCGGGGGCGCACGGCGGACAGTCCGCACATCTTGCTATCTCACATGGGATCCGACAAGGCTGTTAACTGTCTCCCTTCATTCAGTTTTGCTATCGGTGACGATCTGAGGAAAATGTTTGGAACCTAACTGTTGCAGTTCGGCTCACTTCGGGACGAAGAGTAAAGCTGTGGCGTCCGCTTGTAAGAATGGAGCGGATGTCATCGACAAGCTGAAATGCTAGTAGGGCACAGAAGACGACAACCAGACCCCATTTCAGGGGACCCAACAGTCCCTAGATGAGTCGTGTTGGGTGCAATTACCGGGGAATCGACGAATAACGCTGTGCCGAGTTCACAGCTGTCGGCTCATCGCAACTTCCTGACCAGGGGCTTAAAAAAGACAGCTGAACCTCAGAATAGCCAAGATCTAGGGCTCAATACACACGTATGACATGAAGAAAGCAGGCTGACGTGTTTGCAAATGAGTTACCCTTGTATTGTGATATGGATAGATTCATCATCATCATCATCAAAGACAGCAACATCAGTGCTGCCACTGATGCTTCACTGCCGTACACGGATAGATTACTTGTAACTACAGGGACCACTGAGCGAAGGACGAATTCCATCCACCAAGAGCCTCAATGAAAATGTTCTAGGTAAATCCCTCTTTGTAGGCTTTCTACATCAAATTTCCACTAGCTCGCATCGCCGCGACATACCACTCCACTTGGTCGCCCATGACTTCACCTTAGATTTGTTTACTATATCTAATTCGATCTCACAGACAGATTAAGCCGAATCGCTAAATCCTGACACTTGGTGGATGGTTGCCATTCAGTTCAATCGAGTGGAGACACGGTACTGGCAAAAGCGATAGAAAACCCAGAGGTGTGTTCGAGCAATGAACCCTGCGGCCGATAGGTTGTACATTTAACCACTGGTCCCAAGTAGATCACCCCTAGCATAACACTCACTGTTGCGACGGCTCGACCATGGGTGTGGCGTCATTTCATATAAAGTAGGTTGCTGCGCGTTGGCAAACACTTCACGTCAGGAAGATTCAAACTCGCCTGGCCGGACGTACGTTAGGAACGTCTCCATTCATGACCGGAATACGCCTTACAATGAACCTTCTGTTAAGATATCAGCTCGGATAATCATACCCTCTACTCATATTGGTGGAAATTCCTCCCTAGGAGTTGAGGCCTACCAAAATGCTTCCGAGAACTTGGGGGGGGGGGGGGGGGGCGGAACGGTACGCCTCTCTATTGGGTTCGGAAAACCTCGTCATTTCGTGAGAGGCATGTGGCCTCAGGTGATGGGACCACTGTGTTGATGATAACATCCCATTGGTTCAAACCGCTTTTCATAGACTGAAGAAATACGAAGATAATTATAGGTCGGTATATGGCCGGAACAAGGTAGGCCTAGTCTGATTTTGGTAAAGGACGGGGAGAATGCTGTTGATGACAGAAGAGCACCGAAAATGTTTGCCTAATGGGTGCTGTAGATGTGATTTCAGCAAAACAGGGCGAAAACACGGGGGCAAAGTGTAAGCCAGGAAGATTGACAAACTGTAGTCGGTTAAAGGTCTGGCGGGGACCCTATACATGAAGTAGACCCCAACGGGGGGAAAAAGGGAACACAGGGAGCGAATGCTTTACAGTTGATAAGACCAAACGACGGGGTCACCCGTGAGTGAATCCAGAGTATTGAATCTGGCTGCAACATGACGGTTGATACCGCTGGGAACGCCGCGGTCCTCAATTGGAACTTGCTTTACATTCCATCTGAATTTGTGGTCTTGCCCACTCGACGAATTCGTCGATCAAAACGGGCCAGGCACCTGGATAAGCAGAGAGAAATACGTTTGTTCAGCATACTTCAGTTGTCAAATTACAAGTAGGGTTCAAAGGGGCAGATTTTCGTTACCAGATGTATGTCTTCCCCTGGTAATGACACCCGATTGTCTATGGGGATAAGGTCAGATATTCCTTAAGCTATTACTCGCGTAATTCCAATCCACTCACCATGACCCAGGAACTAGCTTCCAGGAAAGCACGAATGAGACATTCAAATATAGCAATGAAGTGTTGCGGAAAGTCAGACTGGCTGATACATCGTACATCCCGTGGGGGGGGGGGAACCCTAGACCCTGGATAGGATTTTCTCACCGGAAACGAATGAACGTGAACGGTTGACCGTCAACGGCCGAAAAAAAACAGAAGGCGATTATAAGAGAAACTTCAAAGGGCGCTTTCGGATGCGGTTGCACGTAGCTAATCAATCAGAAGCCTGTTAAAAAAGGGATAAAAATGGTTGTATCCATTGAGATAGCAGACGTGATTAGGGACAGATGGAAGGGCGAAACGACCACGCTGGAATGCGGTGCCGCATCCATGAAGAGAATGGAATCACGTTCCCGAAACTGTTTGCATTACAACAGTTGTTTTTCATGAAGAACAGTCGGCAGGGTGTTTGCGAAAAAGGGAACACAGGGAGCGAATGCTTTACAGTTGATAAGACCAAACGACGGGGTCACCCGTGAGTGAATCCAGAGTATTGAATCTGGCTGCAACATGACGGTTGATACCGCTGGGAACGCCGCGGTCCTCAATTGGAACTTGCTTTACATTCCATCTGAATTTGTGGTCTTGCCCACTCGACGAATTCGTCGATCAAAACGGGCCAGGCACCTGGATAAGCAGAGAGAAATACGTTTGTTCAGCATACTTCAGTTGTCAAATTACAAGTAGGGTTCAAAGGGGCAGATTTTCGTTACCAGATGTATGTCTTCCCCTGGTAATGACACCCGATTGTCTATGGGGATAAGGTCAGATATTCCTTAAGCTATTACTCGCGTAATTCCAATCCACTCACCATGACCCAGGAACTAGCTTCCAGGAAAGCACGAATGAGACATTCAAATATAGCAATGAAGTGTTGCGGAAAGTCAGACTGGCTGATACATCGTACATCCCGTGGGGGGGGGGGAACCCTAGACCCTGGATAGGATTTTCTCACCGGAAACGAATGAACGTGAACGGTTGACCGTCAACGGCCGAAAAAAAACAGAAGGCGATTATAAGAGAAACTTCAAAGGGCGCTTTCGGATGCGGTTGCACGTAGCTAATCAATCAGAAGCCTGTTAAAAAGGGATAAAAATGGTTGTATCCATTGAGATAGCAGACGTGATTAGGGACAGATGGAAGGGCGAAACGACCACGCTGGAATGCGGTGCCGCATCCATGAAGAGAATGGAATCACGTTCCCGAAACTGTTTGCATTACAACAGTTGTTTTTCATGAAGAACAGTCGGCAGGGTGTTTGCTGCGCACGTGCCAGCAAAAAAGAAGGGAGTTCGATTGCTCCACAGTTAGTTAATGGGCATCCAACTTCGTGTCAGCTACACACCGCCAAATGTCGCCCAGTCAGTGCGATGCAGTGAAAGCCGCTGGACGGCACCAAACAACTTCGCGTCCGTCCGTCTATAGAACCGCATAAAGGTGAAGTCGTCCCAACAAAGCTGGCCCCAAAAAGACAAGGAACAAACAATTAATAGCTTCAATATAACTAAGACTGAGGTATAGACGTAATATACTACTCATAAGGTTGCCGAAAATTCTTCGACAACCCACAAACGGCTTTGCCCTTCTTGACAACAGAGAGAGCGAGAAGGACCAAGTGGTTAGAGCGCGAATTTACTGACCGGAAGGTTCGTAGTTCGAACCCGACCTCTGCCTTTCGACTTCCTCTGTCTAGACTTGGGTGGTACGCCAGTCATGTTTCCCACGGGTGACGTGGCAGCTAGGTGCTGAAGGCTGAACAATTCAGTGCAAAGGCTATTCCATTGTGGTTGGTACCACGTTATATTGAGAGGAAATCGCCAGACTATTATGTAACCGTTTCATCCATTTCAAATCGAGATGTGAGGGGGGTGTACCTCTAGTGCTAAAGGCTTGTACAATTCCATTCAGTCATTGAAGTACTGCTGTGTAGCTGTACAGTAAGCATATGGCCGTAGATTTTGTTCCGTACTCAGCAAGCAAAGCGACTTAGGTTCTCTCGACAGTACTGTATTTGAGTGCAATAAGGCACCAAAATTGTTGGTCGTGCTCCAGCTTGTCAGGAGGACCAGATGGCTGAAAATAAGCACAGAACGTCCGAAACGTACCAGAAACTGTCAAAATCGCTTCAGAAAGGCCACTGAGTCCGGAAAAGTCAGCTGTCCAGTGAACGTTCGAGCAGCGACGATTGACAAGCGTGACATAGAATCGATGTCAATCAATCGACATCGACTGAACAGCCTTCATTCGAGATCAAAAGTGCCCGACGCTCCCTGCAATTTCGCACTCGCCTGATGGCAGTAGAGCCGTTGTGTTCTTGTTGGATGAGTCTTCTCCGTCTTCTAGGGGTAGAAGTGGCTAGAGCGCGAATTTACTGATCAGAAGGTCCGTGGTTAGAACCCGATCTCTGCCTCCCAACTTCTCCTGTCTGAGCTTGGGTAACCTGGCAGTATCTCAGCTCTCGTGCTCCCTTCAGGTAGCATGACAGCTAGGCACCGAAAGGGTGCTATAGCTGAACGACTTATATTTTATAAAGTTCTAGAGTCGGGATTTGCAGTCACTTACAACACATTCAATTAGTGATCCCCCACTCCAGTGGCTTGTGTTTAGCCGTGTGACGAGAACAGAAGCCGCTATTGTTGACCAACGGGATAAAAAGTGAACCAAAAAAAGCCCCAGAAAAAATTCTCACCTTCCTCATCGTAATTGGACATGTCGGGTTGGATTGTATCGACAAAGTCCAGCAATAGATTCCACGTGTCACGGGAAATGGGCCGTTTGTGATGTTCCTTTAGGGTTTTGAAAAAGAGAAGGAATGAAATTCCCAGTGGGCATCGATTACCGAAAACATAGTTCATTGATAATGTTCTGAGATGTATTCCTGAAACATCCAGGATACCTGCTGAAAAAAAGCGGCACTCACCCGAAAGAAAGATTGGGGCTTCGTTTCAGGGAGGTTTGGTAAACAATCGGTGGATTTATTGCTGGGCAACGTTCCGCTTTTGACACAAAAGCTTCGTCAGGCCAAGTGAGTAAGTATGT